AAAAAGGAGCTCTCAAATATGCAACCAACAAGGAAAAGATGAAAAAAAAAAGTTTAAAATGAGGGGCAAATTTGTAAATGACCATCTAATCCCATTATTTGTCTAGGAAAACAAACATACAAAACAGATTATGAAGATATTCATATCTTGGGTAAATCAAACATAACAAACATAAATATATTCTTGTCTCTAAACCCCAATCTTGGACATATAGATAAAAATAATCTAATCTTGTCTCTCTTAACAAATGAGCTCTTAATTGATTGAGATCTATGTGCTCTGTATATGGTTTCAGAGTTTTTCAGCCCATAATCTTATAAGATTTGTCTTATTTGGGATGGGCCCAGATCGTTAGTGGTTTGGTCCATGTAATATGGATCCTTGTTGAGTAACATGTGGCTTTAATCTGGGCCTCCATTTAATACAGATCCTTGTTGAGTAACATGTGGCTTTAACTGGGCCTGCCTTTCACAGCCTAGTCTTAATGATAAATAATAGATTAAAATTGATGTGATATCTCTATACAAATATATTCACTCAAAACATGAGTTTTAACTAATGTAAAAGTATGAGAGAGATGATGTGAAGTGATAGTTAGTTAAAATTAGATTAGTTGATAAATAGTGAATTAAAGTTGACGTGATATATAAGAATGATAATAATTATATTGATAAGATTAAGGTCAATGAGATTAAGTTAAAGTTGAGTTAAATTTTCAAGTGAAATAATTTATAAACAAGTTGGCCTTGAATATTCTATACTTTCCCGTTTAGTTATTATTCGAAGTATATATATCGAGATTTTTGTTTAGTTATTATTCGAAGTATATATATCTAGATTTTTTTAATCCTTTTAACATACTTGATGATGATTCAGGATCTGAATTAATAGGACTTACAAACGATTTTGGATTTTTTTTTTTGGAGTTATAAATTACTTGAAGAACCGCCTATAAGCACGATATATGTAATATACAATAATTTTTTCTTTATTTCGATTTCTTAGATAAGCTATTCTTACATCATAACTGAATATGAGCCTTTTTTTCTTTTTTTCTTTTTTTTTTTTTGTTTTGTTAATCATAACTGTTATCATATTGCTTATTATGCTCAGCTTCTTTCCCAATACAAAGGTATGCTATCAGTAGGAAAATAACAGCTTGTTCACTTATATTTTCTGGCAACACTAATATCGTTGAGTTAAAGTCACGAACTTAAAGACAAAAATAAGGTGGAAAATGTCCTTTTCATTACCAAAATAACTCTCAATCGTGTCTTGGTTAAAAGAAAACACGAAAAGCTACAATCCACCTATACAGTATCAATAAATATTGTCACTCTCAATTGTATATATCTTTATTTTAATTTATTTTTTATTTTTATTTAATGTGGAGGTAGCTCAGAAGGCAATGGGTCACCAAATGGTTAACGCGTTTTTTATTCATTGACCGAAAAGCGTGTTAAATTCAAATGGTCCTTCATATATAGAAATTCGAGGTGACACCTCAAATTCGTCTCATTGTTAAGCCATAAATATGCCAAGTTTTTNAATAAGGGGAAACCTGCACATGTTGGAACATAAACCATGAAACTTTGATTACTCGGAGATACTTACACTTGATAATAAGATAAAAATAAAAAATAAAAAAATATAAATAAAAATTTTGAAATCATAAATATTGAATACTACCATTCAAGTGAGTGTCTGCACCATATAACTTTTACTGGACTAATTAATCCCTAAACTATAATATGTTTTCTACTTTATATAATACACTTTTCTATGACAAATTCTTATATAGACAGATCTATCTATTATGCTGATTTACCAATCATATATTTATGCTATAAAATATTAAAGAAAAATGAAATATGACATCCAAATTTCAAAATATACATATATATTAAAAAAACACAGACTTATGACTTGATTAATAATCGAGTTATTTTCGAAATCTATTTATTTTGTGACTTTGATGTGAATCTTGAAGTTGGGAAAAGTCAAAACTTATTATTTATGTTGGTACAGAAAATTTAAAGCTGATTATTTTAATGAATCGTAGCATAAGCAAATGTTTAATTATTTTTACGGACTGAAGAAGACTATGAGTCAACCCAGTAAATAACTTGTTTCATTTTTCATGTTGTTTTTGTTTCATGTTTGAGTTTTTCTTCTTCCCATAAACAACAATATTGTAACTTCTCAAAAGGCTTTAATAATAATTAAAAATAAAAAATAAAAAAAAAATCATTCATCTTCAGTTTTAAAGAAATGATTTAAAGAAATAAAACTATTTATTCTTTCAGCTGTGACTTGTGAGTTCCACTCATAAAAACCACCGCGTTAAATAAGCAGCATCACATGAAACTTCCCCGTGTGTAAGACGTGCCCAACAAAAAAAGAAACCGAACTTCAGTTTCAGATTAAAAAAGCACCCAAAAATCAACTCAAAACCGATCTTCAAAAATAAATGATCAATCTCCAAATCTCAAATGCAAAACCCCACTTTCTCCTCAACCCCCCACTTTCTCACCCACCAAATTCTTGAATTCTTCTCCTAAAGCTACTCCATTTTTCCTTTTCCCGCAAACGTTACGCAACAAGTATATAAAGCCCTTTCACACAACAGTTTTTTTTTTGCAGAAGAAGGGACGATGGGCAATAGAGATCTGGAGAGAGGGGCGGCTCAAAAGAGCAGAAATCAGAGCTACTATGCGGGGGCAGGGTATGATATGGAGTATTCGGACAGCCAGTGGACTTCTTGGCTTGTGCCTATGATTGTTGTAGCTAATGTTGCCATGTTTGTGGTGGTCATGTTTGTCAACAACTGTCCAAGGAATTATAATGGGTTTCAAGGTTCTTGTGTGGCTAGGTTTCTTGGGAGGTTCTCTTTTCAGCCCCTTAGGGAAAACCCTCTGTTTGGCCCTTCTTCCTCAACGTAAAGTTTCAGTCTTTCTCTCTCTCTCTCTCTCGAATTTCTTAATCGTTGTACTTATATGGTTGCTCTTTAGGCCGGTTATGATTGTGGTCTTTTTGTTAGTTTGTGTTATGTGTTTACCTCACTTACCTGTTTGGTTGATCATGAATTGTGCCCTTTACTCTTTATTAAAAGGAAACTTTTTTCGGCTCCTTTTTCTTCTTCTTGCTATTCCTTTCTTGACTTTTTGGTTGATTTTGTAGTTTTCTGTTAGAAAAACGTTTACCTTTCGTGAACATGTTTCGGGTTAGTTTCTTGCTACCTTTTTTTTAGAAATCTGATTATAGGATTGCCCTAGAGCTTTGTTTTGAGAATTTGGATCATGGCACTTTCAAGATTTTGAATTTCTTGTTTGCTGTAGATATTTTTCTGTCTGGAAATTGAAAACGGGGTTGTAAAACCAGACATCTTAATGCAACCATCTGATGTAACACTTTGCTTGTTTTTCTGTGTCCGACTTTGATCAACAACTTCCTTTCGTAAATCGTAGTTATGGTTTACACATCTTAATCCAAGAATTCAGATATCTATGCAACTATGTTGTCTTGTTCATCTTTCTCCCTGTTATCTCATTGATAAGTTTCATCTACTTGACTGATTGTTAATTTTTGATTGCTTGTGCTACATTTTTTTACCTTCTGTGTTAGACACGTGTTCTACTCTTCACCATTATCACATCTTTTAAATCTAGCAAAAAGTAACTAATTCTTACTGGCAAGTGCTTTCTTATTTGATTAACCTGAAAAAAGTGTCGCTTTTCTTTTCGTTGTATCGACTTTAGAAACGTGAGGATATTATCTTGTCATCAAAGAAGATCAAGTTATACTGATGCCTTTCTCTTTCNTTTCTTTTAGACTGGACAAACTGGGAGCTCTTGAATGGAACAAGATAGTGCATGGGAATCAAGCATGGAGGCTCATAACTTGCATTTGGCTTCATGCTGGTGTTATTCATCTGCTTGCAAACATGCTTAGCTTGGTGTTCATTGGAATTCGTCTCGAGCAGCAATTTGGATTTTGTAAGTAATCTTGAATATTTAAATAGAAGAAACACAGTCTTTTAATATTTTTAATATCTTCTCATTTGTTCTGTCCTGGCCTTCTTTTGCTGTAGTTTAAATTATTAGAGTGCTTATTTTTCAACCAATTCAAAATATCATTTTTATCTGGGATGTGTTTATGCAGTACGAGTAGGAGCGATATACTTATTGTCCGGAATTGGTGGAAGCATACTGTCTTGTTTATTCATTCAGAGGAATATATCAGTTGGAGCTTCTGGTGCTCTGTTTGGACTTCTTGGGGCAATGTTATCTGAGTTGCTTACAAACTGGACAATTTATACTAATAAGGTATTTTTCTGAAGCTTCTCTCTTTTTGTTGTTTCTATTGGGACTTTTTAGTTTTTAATGAATAACAAAAACAACAACAATAATAATAAAGAAAGAAAGAATCATTTATCTAGTCCACATTGGGATGCTTTTCGGAACATATTTGTTTTTTCTTTTTTTTTTTTCTTAAATTATTTTAATTTGTTGTTACAGATTGCGGCTTTGTTTACATTACTGGTCATAATCGCAATCAACTTGGCAGTTGGAATTCTTCCACATGTGGACAATTTTGCCCACATTGGAGGTTTTTTGACTGGTTTTCTCCTCGGCTTTATATTACTCGTTCGGCCTCAGTTTGGTTGGTTGGAAGGCAGACACCGTCAGACAAATGCTCGTCTGACGTCAAAGTACTCAATTTGCCAATACGTTTTATTGATTGCTGCCGCCATTTTAGTGGTCATTGGGTAAGTGTCCTAGTTCTATCTCAATTTTTGCATCCATTATGGTTAATTTTTGCTATATTAATTTGAACTTGCTTTTTATCTGAAAATTTGAATATATGTAAAATATTATGGCAGGTTCACGGTTGGACTTGTGATGCTGTTCAGGGGAGAAAATGCGAACGATAGGTGCAGTTGGTGCCATTATCTGAGTTGTGTGCCTACATCAAGATGGAGCTGTAACAATTGATTTAGGGTTTCTCAACTCTCAAGATTCTGTTTGATAATTTTTTGGCAGCTCTCTTATATGTTATTTTGGAACTACATTATTCTTGTTGTTTATATATTTTAGCTGTTCATATGCTTTCTTATGTACATTTATATTATACGCGGTTGATCTTGTATTTTATCCGTTACCGGACATAACCTTTAATGATTCTATTATTTTATTGTACAAACTTTGGTTTCTTTTTTCTTCAATGTTGGCTTGAGATAAGATTGATTCCTTTCGAGTATCATTGAGTACATTGAATCAGCTTGATTTTGTCTAATGTTTTGATCCTTTGGGATCTCTGTTTCTGTATCTAGTTTTAACTCATATGATGAATGACACGTATATCTGATGATATCGTATGTGTGTTGTTGTGGCACATATATCATATTGAAACATTTCAGATGAAAACTGAGTTGCCATTTGAAATGTTTGAGAGATAATGTCAAATGAGAAAATGCAGAAATATGGATGCATGAATCTAGGCAAACTTCAAGCTAATTTAAACAATACAATAGTAGTCAAGATTATGGCTGCAAACAATCTGAGTCGAGTCGAGTCGAGTATCGGTCTTATTGAGCAAGATTGATTTTTTTTTTTTACCTGCTTGAGCTCGATCTCGATTTATAACGCTCAAGATCAACTCGACAAAATCGATTGAAATCGAAATGCTCGAAAATTGCTCGAGTTCGTCTCAAATTTCAAGTAAAATTACCATTAAGTACATATATAAAATATTGTAATAATTTTTATATATAAAGGGTATTTTAGTCATTCATCCATATCTCGAGCTGCTCGAGCTCGGTCAAACTCCTGTTCGAGCGCTTGCGAGCTCGTTTGCAGCCCTAGGCAAGACTAGAACAACAATCAGACAGAAGTCATATTTCCTTCTTTAGTTAAATCTGGCTCATTACAAGTACAACACTCAGCACTATTCTCATCATGCAAAGCTGCAAACCATATATTACTAGCTACATTCATAATCAGTCACTAACCATAAGAAAACCAAACAACCTCAATTCACCATTACACTATTTAATACCTATACCAATTCTGTCTAACCTCCCGGACCACGGATAAGCCTTGCTCGTGAATTCCGCATGCAAACCAGAAATTCTCTCACCCGACCTCAAATCACCAAACCCATTAATCGAGTATCTTTTAGTCGAGCTCGACCGTTCAAACTGAGGTCTCTGTTTGGGTGCACTAACCGACCTCGCCTTAGCTCTAGACGACTCTGTACAAGCCATATAACTAGGAAAATCCGAATAATAATTACTAAAACAGCTTCTCGACCCATCACTTTCCGTAGGAGTAAAACCACCCTTGTTTGAAGATGCTGCTGAGTAGAAAGTTGGGCTTAACATGCTTGAGGATTGGGCTTCACAGGACGGTGGGCTTTGCCCCAATGGGAAACTACTGGCTGTGGAGTCCTTTGATATTGAGTGGGAGAGGGCCCGGTTTTTGCAGTTCCAGCTGTCGATTTCGAGAATCTTGTCGTCTGTTTGGAGATTATACGATTTTTCGCTCGTTCGGCTGTTTGATTTCGAGTTGTTTCTCTGTGATTTTAGGAATAAATTTGAGTGATGGGGACAAAAAGAATTAGCATTTGTGGTTTAAGGAAAAGCATCCAAGAACAAACCTTGAACATCGTTGAACTGGCCCGAATAACAACACGCTCGGATTTTTCAGGAGTTGGTGGCCCCTGGAAAATTAGAAATGCAGTTTGCCCATGATGCAAGAATATTATTAATATTAACTTCAATTCTCTTAAATATTCCAATAGAGTTTCATAAAAAGACTAAAAAAGTCAAAACCCCTTGCCTTGCAGCTACATAATCATGCATAGAATACAAGGGTGATATTTTGTAAATTGAAAAAGTAACTGTGTGCGCTTTTTGTAGTTTAGAAAACTCAGAGGCTATCTTCAAAATTATCTCTGATGATTAGATTCGAGATTCCATAGCCATGCCCCCCACTTTTTTTCCACAAGAAAAAGCCAGAAAACCCGTATCAGTAACTCTATTCAGCATTCCAAGTAAATATTCCAAGCATGAAAATCCTCTACTCTCTTTCCTGTTACCATTTGTCTGCTGTCATTTTTCCTTTGTAATGAAAAGTTTCTTTTTTCCCTAATAAAATACTATAGCACAAACTATTTTATAGTAAAAAAAATATGATAAAGTCAAGAATGGTCCCCCAGTTATTTTTCAGACAACCTTTTTCTGTCATGCCTATAGCCACCAAATCTGAATTCAAACAAAAGAAAAAAAAAAATGGGAGGGACAATTTGAAATATTTCGTACCGGATAATTGAAGTGCGATGATTTCATGCTCGATTGTGGAGACTCGTAATTCAAATTAGCACGGGATGCTCGAGCTCGAGCTTGTGCTCTCACGAGCGCTTGTAACCGTCTAAGAGCATAAGCGGTTTGCTTCCTTACAAGGTGACCTCGCACAAGTGCTTGGAGCTTCACCAATGCTTTAAGTGCCCGTAAAGCTCTTCTCGACTAAATATTCATCATAAAGCAAGTTAATTGATTACAACATAGAAAAAGATGTAGTATATTTTAGAGTTTAGACACTAGGAAAGATTTTATTCCAACTTAATTGGGCAAAAAACAACAATTTCAAGTAATTATATCGGAAACAACAGCTAATTAAGAGAACTATGGAAAGTTTTTTTTAAACAAAAGCTTAATATATAACTTGTTCAATCAATTAATCACATAAAATTTAGTATTGGCATCACAAAGCCTTGATGTATTTCACTTTTAGTTTTTCTGATAAAATGGTGAGATTACAATTTATAGTGAGGATAGAGACATCTCATCAGACCAGGACTATAATGTGACAAAAAAGTTGTGTACATAAGCTATGATATGTCTAGAAGATTCAAGTACAAAGCAGCCCATTACGGCCCAACTTTATATCCAAACTTGTATGGAAAAATGAAACTTAATGGGATTTCAAAGCTTTTCTCTGTCCTAGTCTGCTTTTTTGCAGTAGCATGTGATTTCTTCCACAAGAAGAACCCTCCAAATCTGAAAGTATACACCACTTATTAAACTAGTGTATAACTAACTAGCTAATACAGAAAAGCTATGCATTGTGTAGTAAACCAAGTAATGGGAAAAATTATATGCCCAAAATTAGATAAATAAAAATGCACATTTTGTAGTTATATTTATTAAGTGACAAAATTAGCAATCAACTTATTTGGGCTCATTTCCTAACACTTAAGCAACTGTATTCTTTCTTGAATGCCAATTTTCCAATTGAAACGTATTCATTTTAATTTATTAAAACAAGTATGATAAAACAATTCAATAGGTAGCTTCACACAAGCATTTATGGCAAAAGTTTGATTCACAAATTTCCAATTTTTTTCTAAATGAAGTTGAAAAACTCAAGAAAACCACTGGACTAATCTCCAAGTCAAAGGATTACCACTCAACAGACCGTGTGCAAATTCTGACTTGCTAATGTGAACAAAAGCCCAGGCCGACTGAGACATGAAATAAAGTTGAAATTTTTATATACCATAAATGAAAATGTTCTTGCACCGACTCATGTCTAGCAATGGACAAAACTCATTAATAAATTAATAAAATGCATTATTTTTCGATGAAATTGACAAGTACAATTTGGTGAAATTATTCCATTTCTCAATAGGGACTTGAAAACTCCATCCCAACCCAACCACACTTGGAATTTAATACTGACCATGAAAATAACCTGCATATTATCTATAAAAAATAATATATTATTTTCTCAAGTATTATTCTACTTTTGCTAGTCCTCACAGCTTCAACGTAGCCTTTGGTCCCCACCCCCACATATATACACAGTTACATACAAAAGCATGTATGTACATAAAACGTGTAATGCTTCTCAATAAAAAAGCAAAAAGTAAAAAGAAAAACACAAAACTAACACGGAGAAAACAGATCAGCAGCAGCAGGTAAGCAAAACCCAAAAATAATAATAAAAAAAAAATNTTAAAAAAAAAAACGGCAAGAGCACGAAACGCATGGGGTATGCCAGCACGCACCCACATGTGTGTGTGTGGGTTTATTTTGTGTACAGTAAAAGGAAACTAACCAAATAGGCACGAAAATGCGACTGGACGATAACGGCCGCCCACTCCCAACGGGCCCCGTAGCGTGCGCCGCGCCCGCTAACTTGAGCCCGGGCGGCCCCAGTCGTCGGGATGCTCCGGCCGCTGCTCGTGAGGTGGACCACGGCGGCTGCGGCCTGAGCGGCAGCTACGGCGGCCTCGGCAACGGCCGCAGTGGCAGCGGCCACCGCGATGGCGTGCTTGGTGGAGTCGTCGCCGGAGTCTCCGCCGCCCGGGGAGACGGCCGGCCAGGACCTTTGTCGGTCCTTCTCTCCGTCGGGCCAGGTGAAGCTCCACCTCTTCCTGGACGCCGGCGGCGGCCTGTGAGGGTGGTCGCGGCCGGGATCGGAGTTTCTGAGGCCGAGAAGGCCTCTGAACCATCTGGAAGCTTTGCCCATGTGTGTGTGTGTGAGAGAGAAAGAGAGAGAGAGAGAGAGAGAGAGAGAGAGAGAGAGAGAGAGAGAGAGAGAGAGAGAGAGAGAGAGAGAGAGGGTAGGGGAGGAAGACGAAACTGGTGAGGAATTTTAATGAAGCAAAGGAAAATCCATTAATGGGATTGCATTTGAGGAAAGAATTTAGCAGAGTGGTCTGTTGATGTTGCTATTATATAGCTACATATATTACGTGAAACTTTTTTAAATGATAAAAATATACATATAAAATACAAAATATAATATGACTTTAACAATAATAAAAATATACATATAATACGACTTTAACAATTGAGAAAAAAATAACAATACACTTTTTTTTAAAATATTTTTTACAATTAAGTATATATATATATCTTTTTAATTAAAAAGTAGTATGATTTTGGACTAGACAAGGCCAAATTTAGTTTTGGGTCGGAATCGTCGGTTCCAGGCTAAGAGTTGTCCGACCCGGTCACTAAAATAAATAAATAAATAAATAAAACGTCGAACCCAGTTCAAACCACGAGCCCGATTCAAAACCCGTTGACCACGGTGACCACGGGCCGGTTCGGACCGTCGTGTTGTCTATTTTGGACCAGCATGGCACATCCCACGTGAGCCAAATAATGACAATTTGTACAACATAATTTTTTTTTTTTCCCGAAACGATAGAAAGTTTTATAAATCAAAATGCACAAATGTGCGAATACACAGCAGCCAACGGCTGAAAATACAGCAGCCAACAGCTGAAAAAAGTGGGAGGTCAGGTCAGAAGCCCGCCTAGAATCCCGCGACTAGCAACGCTAGAATAAGAAAAACACACTCACAACTAAACTAACCAACAGCACAAACAACTATAACAACTACAAGGACCCAACAGGGTAATACCCGAGTGTCGGACCCCAACGGAGTAATAAGTTTGACACTCTGGCTCACAGGGGCCAACGGCCCAAACCAAAAACACGAGAACAAAAACAGCCACAGACACAAAGACACAACAATAACGACAAAATAAACAAGCTAACTACGAACTAAAACATAGCCCTCCTTCAGCAAAAACATCCGAGATTGTACAGCAGAAAAAGCCGAGTTCAAAGGAAGATCCAAAGCACAGGAACTCCACCCGCCACTGCCTAATGCCTAGCAAAGACGAAGAACCGAGCCTCGAAACAGTCCAAAAAAACTGACCGGCACTCAAACCGCGAGAAACCACAGTCGACCCCCAACCAGCTAACACCACTAGCCTAGTCCGTCACCGTCCCTAAACTGCCTAACACCACTAGCCAATTTCGGACAACGGTCAGCCTCCCTCAGACTCAGAAAGAGCAAAAGGGAGGAAGGGTTCGAATGGCTTCCTGGCCCAGCGCACAATCACAACATAATTTAGTTAATTAAAATAATTATTCATAAAAATTATTTAAAAAATCAAAATGTGGGTCCTATTTTTATTTTTAAAAACATCATAAAACTATATTATTATTATTATTATTATCATGATTATTATTATTATTGAATACATTCTTCACGTGTATATATATATGGTGTAAAATCACATGAATTTTGACTATAGTAAAATATTTTAATACAACTTAATTAACAAAAGTATCTAAAATATTATATGCTTGTTGAATGGCATGTACTAATTAAACTTTGTCAAGTAAGTTGTATACATATAAAAAATATTACATTTTATATAATAAGAGCAATAGGTATTTTTTATTATACCGCAAATTGTATAATAAGTGTAGCAAATATTTTTTTATTTATTTATAGTTATGTGCATTAAATATTTTTTTAGTTTAATTGCACTTATACACCCCATAATGTCATCTATATATATATAATTGCTAGCTAATCCTATTTAATAAAACATTTAATAAAATTATTTTTACTTTTCCTCCAAAAGGAGTTACATTTTTTTTAATTAATTACTCATTAATCTCACATTTAAAAAGATTTTTATTCTTAAATTTAATTAGTTAATGACTAAATTAAAAAGATTTATTTTAATTAATCCCATATTTATGTTAAGTACAGTATTATCTTAATATCTTATTAGTTTTTCAAAAAAATAGTAACTTTTTTCAATAAATTTTATAAAAATTAGTCAAATGTGCTTATATTCATATAAATCAGACAAAAAATTAAATCTTAGATATATAAAAAGAACATCGTTGAAATAACTTGAATCCGCAAGGGTAATTCTATACTCATTATCAATTACTTTAAATTTTTTGTTTATATAAAAAATTAATATTATATTTACTCATTTATATTTAGATGGTATTTTTTTTATTAAGAAGCAAGGACAATCTCTATCAATCAATAAGAGTCGAGGACAAACAATATAAAGAAGTGTTTTCTATGCTATGACATGATCAATAAGAGTCAAAGACAGTCTCTGTCGCACGTCGACTTACTATTGAAGAGCTCTGCATTTAGTCATTAGCAATTATACGTGGCGCTTTTTAGAGTTACGAGTCAGTGGGGTTTGAAGATTTTGATTTGAGCTGAGGGAGATTTTGACGATAGAAAAACCACGACGTTGTTTTATAAAGAAGTGTTTAAGAATATTTATATTTTTTTTCTTAATTTTTTTCAATGAATTTGTTATGATTTTTACTGTTGTTTATAATTTTTATTATTTTTTCATGTATCATATAGTTTTCCGTGTAAATGCACGGGACAAAAACTAGTGTATTTAAATAGTAGTTACCTGATCAAGTTCTAAAATATAATTTATTTTATACCATAAATATTTATATCATAATTTTCACTGTGGAAAATTAGCATTTATCATTATTTGACTCTTAATTAATTTATTTTTCTAATGAGAAAGAGAAACACGACCTTTAAACATAATGACGATGTCATGTGTAAAATTTTAAAATACTGCAAATATTCGAATTGGATATTGATGTTGTTGATAAACGGATTAAATCAACATAATTAAGATTTAAAACATAACGAGAATTGCAGAAAATATGATTTTTATTGAATTTTATGAGATCGGTTACAATTTCGAACAAATCGGTATTTTAGTACAGGAGGTCGGAAACAGAGGAAGCCGAGGTAATAAATGCGTGAATTTAATGTGTTGATCCTCGTATCGATTTTAATGCTGCTATTTATAGTTACATCTGGCACACCTTCCAAGAGAAGTCGGTTGTATTAAATGCAGATTTGATGGTTTAGGGGCGGCTATGACGTTAGCATACTTTTTAGGTAATGATGAAAGCATGTGTGCCCCTCTTGCTGAGTGACAGGCGTCACTTCTGTCGGAACGAGGTCGGATTTCTCCTGACATCAGTTGTTCCACAGGTTTGTAACTTGCGACGTCCTTCCCAAAGAACCCTTTTAGAACCGAGATGATAATCCCGAGGTCGCTTGTTTAATGCTGGGGCGATCTGGGAGCCTGCTTTGTTTGTCTTGGAAACCGAGGTGGTAGTACCGAGATGCCGATTAGTTATCGAGATGATACCGAGGATCTCCATCGCACCTCGGTCTTCTAGTAATTAACTCTAAATTCTTCTTAAATCCACTCGAAAATGCCCTTAATCTGCGGAATCCGATTTTGGTATTAACATAGAGGCCCCTGTCATTAAGGAGTATGTAGACAAGTGTGCTTCTTAATGACACTTTCACTTCGACCAACTTTAGCTCTGAAGTCATTCGCAGAACTTCTAAGGGTATACCGAGGTGATTTCCTTAGATGAGAATTACACATTTTCGCGATCATTTGACGAATATGAAATTAAGAGGCGGTTACTAGGCAGTTTCCCGATGTTATGAACGTGTCTTCCCCACTACTCCTCTCAAGGGACACGTACCATAAATGACGGCCGGGAATCATGGCAATTTTCGGGACACGTGTACGCTTACGATTAAGTTTCGAACATTTCTGATGGGATTAAGGAGGTTTCCTCCAAAAGACACAACGGTTACTCAGGCGTTTTCATCCCAACGGTCGGAAAACAACGCATATATATATATATAGCCGTGGTATCGGTTTGCAAAATCCATCTAAACAACTCGTTCATATCTTTTGATTTTTTGAACACTTCTGTTATCAAACTTTCCCATTGCCAGGGACCCTTTGATTTCATGATAGACTGCAGCGGCCCCAATCGAATAGATTGCGCGATACCCCGATGTCAGATCTTCTTTAAATTGTCTTCGGGCTGTTTTCGTCTCTTGGTCGTTGGGATCACTTCGGAATGGCTCCCTGAATTTCAGGTTTTTTGAGGAACCGTCAAAGTGTTTCTTCTTTTTCTTGTTCTCAGAAGTCGGTTTCTGATCCTTCGGGATGAATTCAAGGTCAGGTACCGACATGGATTCTTCCGCAATAATGTGTTGCTGAGCTCGGGCAAGGAACTCCTGGAATGCCCTGGGTTTGTTTTGACAAAGAGCCCAGTGAAACATTGACTTCGGTTTTAGACCCGACGTTGCTAAGACGAGCAATGTCTCCTGAAGACACATTCATAACATCTGGAAACTGCCTAATAACCGCCTCTTAATTTCATACTCGTCAAATGATCGCGAAAATGTGTAATTCTCATCTAAGGAAATCACCTCGGTATACTCTTAGAAGTTCTGCGAATGACTTCAGAGCTAAAGCTGGTCGAAGTGAAAGTGTCATTAAGAAGCACGCTTGTCTACATACTCCTTAATGATAGGGGCCTCTATGTTAATATCAAAACCGGATTCCGCAGATTAAGGGCGTTTTCGAGTGGATTTAAGAAGAATTTAGAGTTAATTACTAGAAGACCGAGGTGCGATGGAGATCCTCGGTATCATCTCGATAACTAATCGGCATCTCGGTACTACCACCTCGGTTTCCAAGACAAACAAAGCAGGCTCCCAGATCGCCCCAGCATTGAACAAGCGACCTCGGGATTGTCATCTCGGTTCTAAAAGGGTTCTTTGGGAAGGACGTCGCAGGTTACAAACCTGTGGAACAACTGATGTCAGGAGAAATCCGACCTCGTCCCGACAGAAGTGACGCCTGTCACTCAGCAAGAGGGGCACACATGCTTTCATCATTACCTAAAAAGTATGCTAACGTCATAGCCGCCCCTAAACCATCAAATCTGCATTTAATACAGCCGGTTTCTCTTGGAAGGTGTGTCAGATGTAACTATAAATAGCAGCATTAAAATCGATACGAGGACCAACACATTAAATTCACGCATTTATTACCTCGGTTTCCTCTGTTTCCAACCTCCTGTACTAAAATACCGACTTGTTCGAAATTGTAACCGACCTCATAAAATTCAATAAAAATCATATTTTCTGCAATTCTCGTCATGTTTTAAATCTTAATTACGTTGATTTAATCCGTTTATCAACAAATATTTAGACATACAATTTTAAAAACCAAATTTTGCGCAAAAGATAAAAAAATAAAAAATAATAATAATAAATAAATAAAAAGTATAATTTAGATTTTATTAAAAAAAATCCTTTATAATAAGTCAAACTATTTACACAAAAAAGTCAATCTTTAGATTTCTCCCCATGAAAACACGACCAGAGCTAGGCTTGTTAAAATGGGCATGTGTCTGTTGATCGCCCCGCCCTGCCCCGCTTAGAAGTGGGTTGGGCCTCCATTTTAAAGGCCCACTAAGGAGCGACCTAAATGAGTTGGACCGCATGGGGTTGTGGGTTTGGGCCGCAGCCCCGCTCGTCTTAAAAAAAAAACGATTTTAATTTGTAAAACACGATTTTCATTTCAGAAAAGAAAGACGAATGATCCCTATTTCCCTAATGGGATTTCACCTTCGCAGGCCTTGGCGAGGCCGACGTTGCCCTTGACGTAATCATTGTCGCCCGTCAGGAATGTGACGTAAGTATTATAAAATTAGTGATCGGATTAAAAACGAATTTCAATATATATACGTATTAAGAATTTGTAAATAAAAACCACAAACATCAACCACGAAAACATGAAATGAAACAAGATTTCTATTAGTAAATAAATAAATTTATTATAAGAAATAACTTAATTGACATTTCTATATTTCCGTAGATAACGTATAGCCGAATCATATAAAATTTGTTTACCTTGAAAAATCAGACGCCCCGATATTGTTCAACGATAGCCTTTTCTCCCAAGATAAGACGGCTAAAGTTTGGAAACTTCACTATCTAACACACTCATCTCGATCAGAAGCTCAATTGCCAAGACCCCTTATTTTTCTTAGTCTTGTAGAGGATAAAAATGAATATATATATATATATATATATATATATATATATACATGTGTGTGTGTATGTGTGTGTGTGTGTGTGTGTTTCTTTTCATTTTCTTGGTGTTCTTCCCGTAAGGCTTCCATGCATTATTTATAGTGTTCATAATACAAACTTATACATTAAACGAAGAGGAGATACATTAATATTCTCCTTGTGGCGGCGGAGGATGACTAGCCAGTTCAGCTTCCCGACGGCGGGGAATTGTGGAGACGAAGAAGGTTGCCTCTACATTGTCGCTCAACAGCGGCGACTGAAATTTGACAAATGACGGTGACCAAAAGTTGGTGACGGCGTCGTGGCCGCTGAAGAGAAGGGCGGCAGTGTCCTGGTTGTGCCTCTGTTCGTGAGAGAATGAGAAGGGTGGGAGGGAATGAAAGAGTGTGTAAATGGCGGGGCTCACGTAAATGTGTTAGCAAAGAAAATGACCATTGCACCTTGGTAGTGTATAATCGTTGTTCTATTTTGGCCATTAAATTATTCGATCTTATGGCTACAATATATTATTATTTGTTTCACCTGGGATCTATTCTCATACATGTGTATGTAGAAAAATAGGGCACTAGGCCCAACATACAGCCTAAGCCCAATAAATATTTGAACTCATGGGCCCGAGTCAGGTGCTCTAATCTAATCTGCCCCACTGCAAAAAAAATCATCTTCTTCCTCGCATTTTCTCCGCTTCAGAGCAGCCCCACCATTAGCAGCACAAGGATACGCCGTACGGTAGGGCGATCTGAAAATTAGGTGAAATGTAGAACTAATAATTGCTAACCTTTAACTTTGTTTTTTGGGGATTTTAAGAAAAAGTAACTCTCAGTGATCGGTGATTGTGATTCAGTGATGCAATTTGGCTTGAGAAGGTTCTCATCAGTTGTCCATTGATCCTGATCGTTATCTTGATAACTTTGACGTGATTTCGGAGTTTCGAATTCAGTTTAGTACGAGTTATGTCCATGAGAGAGCGAGCGAACTAATCTGAAGTCAGTACAAGTTCGGTCCAAGACAGCTAATAGTTACAGTAACCTAATTATCTTTTTTGAGGTAATTTTACGAAATGGGTGGATATTACGATGAGGGTTGTTAATTTTGAGGGGGATCAATCATTTGAGTATGTGTGTGTCTGTTTGTGTGTTTTCATTTTCAGATCCTAATATTATCTTCTTCTTCTTTTCTTTTTTTTTTTTTTTTTTT